ACCAAAGTGCTGCCTGGAGTGGGATAGAATCAAGATTGAGTGTGGGAGGAGAGAGATGAAGATGATGAACATCAGTGTGGCCTCAAGACCAGCAGGGTTTGGTGCTCATCTCACTATTTTGTATTAAATCTTTGTGACATTTTTGGTTGGCTACCATCATGAGGGGATTTGGGACAGATGGGATTTCAAAGGAGAAGAGGGCAAGAACATAGTGAGGACCAGCTATGAATGGTCATCACGTGTGTGCCACTTCAGATTCTCTCAGCCCATTTCTGTCCCTGGCCATTGCTGCAGAGAACAGTTCCAAGGAAGAGTTGACTAGTATTGCAGATCCTGCTTCCAGCCCACATTGCATTCTTTTTTCTCCTGCCCTGGGCTTCTGTGATGTCATGGCACATGCCTCCCACAGAAACGCCCTTGGTGCTCAAGCATGTATATAACCTGCAAATGAGTGAAGGTAGCGTGGCAGGAATGCTTGTGGAGCCAGTGTTGAACAACAGACTCGGCTTGAGCACATAGATAAAGCCTCTTTCATTCCCAGCTAAACTGTCCAAGCCATGTTTCTGAAGTCTCCACAAATGGAGTCCCCACTATACTGGTCAACTTTAATAAAAACATACTGTTGTGTTGACTTTTCTTCCTTCTCTGTTTCACTTTGCCTGCCTTCCACTTCAGCTCCTGGGGTCACCTCCCCAATGAATTGCTTTCATGCTTGCCTTTGTCTTTGCCTCTGCTTTGAAGAAAACTCAGTTGAGGACATTGATCTTCATGACAGAGCATTAATTTCCTCTGGCTACCCAGAGCTGCATTCATTGTTAACTTTCTTCAGAAATGATTCCATGCAAGTGGAAGTTAGTGTGCTTGGATAAGGCAGTTCCCTCTTTGGAGAATCAAGACTGGCAGTTTTCCCTAGGGAAGACTTTCTTCAGTGTTGACCTCTTTGCTAATGGTCCCATTTTGGCCTCTTGTTTTTTATTTTTCTTTTAGAAGTTTGAAATAATGTACCCAACTTCTTTGAGATGAACAACACACACATCTAGCTAGTCTTTTCACATTAACTGTGCTCAGAAAGTGCCTGGTCACTATCCAGAATTTAACATATAATCAGTATATGAAAAGAATTCCCCTTTACCCTTTAGTTGTTGCTTTTAACTTCTTTGCCATTTCATGGAGTTTTGAAACCTTGTTTTCTTCCCTTTAAATGACAGACTATTTTCTTTGGCACAGCCCCAGAGAACAGCACCAGTGAAACTTGGTGCTATGTGAAAGAGTTCTATTTATTTAGAAGTCGCTCAGAAGGCCGTGAGAGTAGACGACCTGGATTGTAGGAAGTAGCCCCAGGAAATCAGAGTATTTTCTTTCCTGTCTTTTTGCCAGGATGCTGGTTTTCCCTTGGCCAATAGTAATCTGCAATAAGGTCAAGATTTATGCCAATCACAATCTCATAGGCTATCACTCACATTGCTTTCTTGGAAGCAACTGCTTACCCTTCTAAGATGGAACATTGAGGGGGGAAATAACATGTTTAGCTGAGGGTTCTCCATGACAAATAGTTCTTGATAATCTTCCCAGATCAATTCTGGGAGCATAGCTACTATAACAAGGAGAAAGAATTAACTACATCCATAGACATCCATCATCCTTGAAGAGAGATTCAGACTGTGTTAAAAACAGCATAAACTTCAAAAGAATATGGCAACTTCTCTCTCCTGACCATAAGGAGAAAAATAAATCGAAGGCCACAAATCAGAAGGCTTAGGAGTGAATTTGAGGACTGATGTGCAGACATTCTAAACAAAGAAAGCTCATTGAGTCTGAGTGCCCATAGTCAGCAGTTAGGGTGCCAGCCACATGCTTCAGGGCTGCTAAACAAAAACAAAACAAACAAAATAAAAACTCATTAAGTGGTGAGACTGTGTTTTTCAAGTCATGAAAGCCTAGAAATCAAGATTTCTCAAATTGGAAGGATAGTAGGGTTTTATAACATTACTTCAGGATGGGGAATGGGCTCAGAAAGTAAAATTTGTTCCACCTTTTTTTTTTTTTTTTGAGACAGAGTCTCACTTTGTTGCCCTTGGTAGAGTGCTATGGTGTCACAGCTCACAGCAACCTCTAGCTCTTGGGCTTAGGTGATTTGCCTCAGCCTCCCCTGTAGCTGGGATTTCAGGTGCCCACCACAATTTTCAGGTGCCCAGCTATTTTTTGTTGCAGTTTGGCCGGGGCCGGGTTTGAACCTGCCACCCTCAGGGTATGGGGCCAGTGCCCTACTCACTGAGCCACAGGTGCCGTCCTTATTCCACTTTTAACTTCATTGTCGAACTTAAGAAATTTTCTGAGTATCACAAATAATATATAAGAACATGTCTAAATATGGAACTACATTGAATATTGCTTGAATCTCATTAAGAATTAAGAAAAACTACCAGAAACTCAGAAGCCATTGTACTGAGCTTTAAAATGGTGGTGCTTACTTCGAGAGCTCCCTTATTAAATTCTACTTCAAGAAGGCCCTCTTATTCTGGTTTCATCAGTACAAGTTTCTGCCTCCCATATTTCTTTTCTTATGAAACATTTCTTCTTACTTATTTTCAGGAAAATGGCTACACACAGCCAAATCACTATCAATCCCAATGGATCTGTTCCATATCTTCCCTTTGAGATTTTTTTCTTTTTTTTTCTTTTATTAAGTCATATACACATAGACCATGAATACATTTATGCATTTGCGGAGTACAATGTGTCAATTTTTAAATATAATTTGGAGTGCTTACATCAAACTAATGAATATAGCTTTCGCCTCATTTACTTGATAATAGTGTTAAGACATTTACGTTCTATACTTGATAGATTTGACTTATACCCATGCAATATGCTCCATAGTTGTGGTCCCACCATTTACCCTCCCTCTATCAAACCTCCCCCCTCCCCTCCCTTCCCACTCCATTTCTCTCCTTCATCCTGGGCTATAGTTGTGATCTATCTCACATAAGAAAGTGTGAATAAATATAAATTAGTTTCATAGAAGTACTGAGTACATTGAATACTTGTTCCTCTATTCTTGAGATACTTTACTCAGGAGAATATGTTCCAGGTCCATCCATTTAAACATAAAAGAGGTAAAGTCTCCATTTTTTTTAAAGGCTGCATAGTATTCCATGGTATACATATACCACAATTTATTAATCCATTCATGTATCGATGGGCACTTGGGCTTCTTCCATGACTTGGCTATTATAAATTGAGCTGCAATGAATAATCTGGTGCAAATATCTTTTTTGCAAGGTGATTTTTGGTCTTTTGGATATACTCCTAGTAGAGGAATTGCAGGATCAAATGGCAGGCCTACTTTTAGACCTGAGGATCTAAAACTTCTTTCCAAAAGGAATGTATTAGCTTGCATTCCCACCAGCAGTACAGAAGTGTTCCCTTTTCTCCACATCCATGCCAACATCTGTAGTTTTGGGATTTTGTTATGTGGGCTACTCTTACTGGAATTAGATAATATCTCAAAGTGGTTTTGATTTTCATTTCTCTGATGATTAAAGATGATGAGAATTTTTTTCATGTGCCTGGAGACCATGCACCTGTCTTCTTCAGAGAAGCTTCTGTTCAAGTCTCTTGCCCACAATGAAATGGGATCACTTGTTCTTTCTTATTAATAAGTTTGAGTTCTCTATGGATTCTGGTTATCAGACCTTTGTCAGAAACATAATCTGCAAATATCCTCTCCCATTCTGAGGGCTATTTGCTTGATTTACTTACAAGCAAGCAGTGCTCTTGGCAGTGCAGAAGCTTTTCAGTTTGATCAGATCCCAGTAATGTATTTTTGATATTGCTTCAATTGTCTGGAGGGCAGAGGTAGATGTATGGAACAGAATTGAGAACCAAGAGATGAAACCAGATACTTATCGTCATTTGATCATTGATAAGCCTATCAAAAATATAAATTGGAGGAAAGACTCCCTATTTAACAAATGGTGTGGAGTGAATTGGTTGGCGTCTTGTAGAAGATGGAAACTGGATCCACACCGTTCACCTCTAACAAAAATTGACTCTCACTGGATAAAAGACTTAAACTTAAGACATAAAACTATATTTTGGAGAGAATGCAGGGGAAACACTTGAAGAAATTGCCCTTCGAGACTTTTCATTTTACTCTATCTTCTCCAGGATATAGGTAATAACATATTTGACTTCTATTCACATTGATTTTTAGTCTTAGATATTTCTTTTGTTAATTTATTTCATTGTTATTTACCTTATTACAACCCGTGAGAAAGAATAATCATTCTGACTTTTACCTGAAGATATTTAAGTTGTAAACAAATCCAGTAGAAAGCAACCTTACAAAAGGCTGCTCTGTCTTTCAGAGATCAGAACTTAAGAGGCAAAACAATGTGAAATTACCCAAGTTCAATTCTCTTGTAAGATTATAGAGAATGAAAATTAATGATTGCGTTGTTGTAAGTGTCACCAGTCCTTTCAGAATAATCCTCTCTCTTTCTCATTTCACCAGCATGATAGTCCTTCTGCAATTAAAACTTTCATAGGATGAAAGTATTATTTTTAAAACTTCAGTTGGTTAATTAAGACAAAGTTGGTTATTTAATTCTATGACCAACTCCACAGAACTATTTTGCATTGTATAAATAAGAGAGTGGGCTTTTTGAGGAAACTTTTCATTTTTTCAGCTGGAAGTATAGGCATCATATACAGATTCAAAGCCAGAACAGGAGGAGCTGATAACCCCCTTCCAGATAAATATAAAGGTTCCACCATTTCTACTTATATTAACTAAAAGAATGTTGGTATTTTCTGTATCTCAAATTCTATTCTCTCTGCCTACCTCTTATCTTTTTGGATTACATAGAATATTTCCATAATTTTATGTTATTGTCTATACTCTCCTCCCTACTTAGGCTTTCCTTTGATTGTTTTCTCTCTCTGGTTTACATTTTCAGTGTTCAGAAAAACAAAATCTAAATGCCACCAAAGCTTACCATTTCAACCAGCGATAAGTATAAGAACATCCCAGCCGTGACCGTAAAGATCCAGTCTTGGACACCTGGATCGGCTGACACTGAGAGGCCGATGTACAGTCCTATGAAAGCCGTCAGAGCACTTATAAAATTCATCAGAATGGCAGTCTTAACTGAAAGTCCCGAGCTTAAGAGCACTGCAAAGTCTCCTGCAGTTTGAGAAAAAGAAAAATATAATCATCATCCTTTAACTCATGATGCCTTTATAATGTGCTGTTAGGCGGTTTCAAAGGCCAGCAACTGGAACCACTTTTATAAGTTAGGGACCTGTCAATAAAATGCTTTCCTCCATTTCTCCAGGACTCATAGCCAATATGTTGTACAATCAGGAAGTTGCATTTCAAGAGTTCTCCTCCTTCTCTTGCTGCTAAAGATAGCATAGAGAGAGGGGGCTGTGACACATTCTTTACTTCCTGATCTCCTGTGACATTTTAAACTTAGACAAATGAAAAATAAAGTCACCCGCTGTCCCAGGGTTTCTAAATCTTTTGGTCTGGAAACTTGGTCAGTGAAATCATGGCAGCCTGTGAGCTTTTATTATTTTCTCATGCAGGGACTGCAGTGGGGAAGAGGAAACTATTTAATGAGAGATTTTTAAATAATTGCAAAAATTGGTTATGAGAATGAATGTTTTCTTTTAGAAAATGGTTTTATGACCGTAAGGCTTAGAGGAAAATGGGCTTGCTCTCCATACCTTTCCTCCAGAAAACACGGGTAAATCTGAGAGCATCTGTTTCTTAGTTTCAGGAATCAAGAGTAGAATTCAACAAAGAGACAGCCTGAGGACTCAGGCTCCTAGTTCTGTGGCACAGCTGGTCCTCTGAACAGGTCTTGAAACATCTTTGCTGACTTGGTGCCAACTGTCACACTGCCCTGGAGTTTGGGGTTAAGGATCAGCATCCACCTCACTGATATGGTAGCTACAGCCAGGACCATAGACAGGACAGGCTGGCTTCCAGACCAGTGCATTTTGACGCCTTTAGGACAGATCTTAGATTAACTGCTCTAGAAGAACAGGTCAAAATGAGTCAGTGACAGGACTTTGAGCAATGGACACAAAACACAAGAGGGCAGGAGTGCCCAGGGGCCAGTACAGGCCTGAAAGTAGCAGCAGAGAAAGACAGAGAGGCTGTTAGGAGTCCTCTCCCACTATAATCCTGAGTCTGTTTCTGAAATGTCTATTCTATCCCATCATGGTTCCTGGGAGGCAGGATTTGAATTACAGGGCTATTAAGATTACTCAGAGAAAGAGTCTTATATGTATCAGCTACCATGTACCTGTCAGTTCAATGTTACACTTGGCTTTAAACACTTTGTATAAATCAAGTTGATGAACCCATGGTTTAGTTTTAATCTAAGTGTTATTTTATCTCATTGGCCTGTTTGCTGACCCCTGGGTAAAGTTCCTCTCTAAATATTTTTCTGTATTTAATATGCATATTTTAAAGTCCTTGTCAAAGTTCTTTCACATGAGGTCTCTCTGAATGACTCTCTCCAGAATCCAAAGACAGTCATTTCTGGCCCTAGGAAAAATGAGAAAGGAATCTAATTCAATGTTCTCAAGGTACAGGAATGTTTTGTTCTAGTCTTCCTTCTCTTCCTCTTCAAATAAATTATACACAGCATTCATCTTGTAATCGTATTTTGGAAAGAGAACCATACTAAACCATATTTCGACTTTTTCAACAAGCCCGAAGAGCGATTCTACTGTTGGACTCACCCATTTCGTGTGGAATCTCATGGCACAAGATAGCAATTGTGGTGGTCACTCCCGACTCAGACGAGGCTGAGAAGGCCGCTCCTATCACTAGGCCGTCTGCAAAATTATGCAGGCTGTCCCCAACCAGAATCATTATTGCTAACAAGCTAATGGCTTTGCCTAAAGAACCAAATAAGAGGCATTAATTGATCACTGGATATGACACAGAACTCTGCCATTCCCCCCTTGACATTCTTATCTTGCATCTAATTAAATAACCTTGCTTTGTTTTAGCTTTCAGAGTAAGTCAGTATTGAAGATGTACATAAGGTAACCAACATGCTTCAATGCACAGCCACTGCTGTTCTAATTAGTTTAATAAATTGCATGTGGACATTCACTAGTTTATCTTGTTCAGCTATGCCAAAAGAAGAAAATTAAAACTATGTTATAACCTCCCAAAGTACCACTGATGACTGTTCCACCCGTATCTGTTGTTACCTATTTTAAAATAATTTAAGAATCTTGCTACAGACTGAATGTTGATGTCCTTCCAAAAGTTATGTGTTGAAACTTACTTCCCTACTGTGATGGTTCAAGGAGGTGGGGCCTTTGGAGTGAGATTACTGCCTTCAGAAAGATGTCAGAGAGCTCCCTTTCCTTCAAAGCCATGTGAAGGGAGGAGCTGTCCATGAACCAGAAAGTGGCCCAGTGCCTTGCACCTTGATCTTGATCTTCACAACCATGAGAAAGAACCATCTAGTCAATGGTGGTTTCTTGTAGCAACTTGAATGGACCCAGACAGACCTCCCTGTGGTAATAGAGTCTATTTTCCAAAACTGCTTCTCTGAGTCAGACTGTCCCTGGGTTAATGTGCAGAAGTGTAATGAAATAATGTGGATCGTAATGGGGTTCAGGTTTTTAATAGACAAATTTTTGTTTTGCTACACCTAAATTATAGGATAGGATAACCCAGACATAGGGTTGGATGGCTCATAAACATAAAAAATACTTTGCAGATAATATTTATTCTGACAGTAGTCTGCCCAGGTGTGCCTTTTGATAAGGATAGTCATTAATCAATTGCCATGGTCTCAAACTTCATTAATTACTCAGTTGACTATCTACTGTGTGACAGCTGTACGTCGTAGCTGCTATTAACATTAGAACTGAATACATTTTAATAATTGTGCTCAATAAAAATAGAGAAAAGCTATCGCCTGTCTTCTGTTACATAGTCTAAAACTATGCAAGGGGGATTGTATCATAATATTGTTTTTTATTTTATTTGGAGAATATGCTGTGATTTGTTTTATACCCCACAATGTAAAAATAAGAAACTTTAGTAAACAGCAGCTATAGCCCAAATTATCACCCAGAGATAGCTATCTTGACTGCGGTACAAAGGTGTCCTGTGCGTTTTCCTTTAAAAGTCATGGGTATTAAAAAAAAAAAAAAAAAAAAAGTCATGGGTATTTAGAAATATCACTGTAGGACTGACTGGTTTGCTAACTTATTTTATCTGTTGTTAAAAATTGGCAGATTTCAGGAAGCCGTCATTAAAACACAATAAATGCAGAATTATTGAATTCAGGGAATTTTTATTGGCATTGCCTGGAAACTCTCAGAGTCCAGTAATGCTACCAAGTCAATTAGCTATTCTTGCCAATTTTTGGAAATAAAGCCCTTCTTTGTGAAGTGAGAATTTTAAAAAATTTAAAGTGATACATTTGACAACACTATAGCATGCAAATAAAATTATGATTTCCACATGGCTACATAGAATGTTGATATTAATAGCATATATTTCAAAGGAAGATTTTTAGCCAACATATATTCTGCTAGGAAGCAGTGTGACCTATTTTTACTGTCCATTATTTTATTATCTCTGACTGTGGGTTTCTAAATGTCAGATCATGGATATGTAACAAGCCATAAGGCAAATATACACATTTGCATGTAAGCCACAAAAAGCACATTGTGCCTATTTTTTAAAATAACTTAAACCTTATTTACTGAAAGATAGATAAGCATTCATTGGCAATTTAATGTACTCATTACAGAATTATCTATAGTAATTTACCCTTACTCAAATACCTGGAGGTCATACTAAATTCCACATTTCTGAACTATCAGAGATTTTCCATAGTGAAACCCGGCCTGGAAGTGGTATCATTTTGCTTTTTGTTTATTGAAATCAGACCATGGATAGGATTTTTGTATCCTGTCTTTTGAAGTTGAGTTCCACCCATGAGGTAACATGAAACAAGTAATCAAATATTTGAAGCTAATTCAATATGGTCCTGGCAAAAGGGCAGCTCAGTAATCTAATTTGGGTTTGTTCACCCTTCGTTCTGTATGCCAAGTTTGATAGGAAGTAGGAAGAGATGAGGGCTGTTTGAATAAGACCATCATTGTCTATGACCCAGCGTCCCCTCCCTGGTTCTCTGCTCCTTATACGACTCGCTCTGTCCCTTATACGACTCGCTCTGTCTTTCTCTCCCCTTTCCTTCTTTCCAAAGCCAAAGTGGGAGGAAGGGACTCTATCGCAGACCTACTAGGTAGCAGACATTCTGAAATTATTCTTGAACTAAACATTTAGAAGGAGAAATATTATTAACAATATTCTGAGGGCAGAAATAGACAAAATGCATAATTATATGTTTTGAATCAAACGAATTAAGTTTATTGTATCTAAAACACGTAGAATAGCAGTCATTAACAATAGCATTTCTATCCCTGATGACATTGCAAACCAGGGATAAAGACCACGCCTACTTTATTCTCCAGGGCACACATAGTACCTGAAACATGGCACATCTTCAAGCATTTCTTGGAGGGAATGAGGATGTATGAATGAATGATTCATCAATGCATGAATGAATGAATCACGATTGACCCATCAATGAATGAATGAATGAAGGAGCCCAAAGACATTTTGGGTCATTAGCATCTCTTGAGTCCCCCAGTGCCAAACATTACTAGCTATATAACACTGAGCATGACTTAACTCCTGTAACCATTGGTTTCCTTTTCTTTTCTTTCTCTCTTTCCTTTTTTTTTTTTTTTTTTTGAGACAGAGTCTCAAGCTGTTGCCCTGGGTAGAGTGCAGTGGTGTCACAGCTCACAGAAACCTCCAACTCTTGGGCTTAAGCGATTCTCTTGCCTCAGCCTCCCAAGTAGCTGGGACTACAGGCACCTGGCTATTTTTTTGGTTGCAGTTGTCATCATTGTTGTTTAGCTGACCTGGACCAGGTTCGAACCCGCCACCCTCCGTGTATGTGGCTGGTGCCCTACCCACTATGCTACGGGTACCGCTAACTATTGGTTTCTTGATTTGCACAATTCAGAAAATAGTTATCCTTGCTTCATGAAGTTGTGTAGGAGGATTAAAGGAGATGATCCATGTCCAACGTTTAGCGGTATGCCTAGCATGGAGGAAGCGTTCACTACATGAGACCCATCTTTATTACTGGGTAATCAACTTATGATGGTAGATGGGAATAACTAGTCAGGACACCACTAATATCTTGAGAATTTTGTGTGTGATTTAAATAACAACTATATTGCACAAAATGTAACTATATATGCAAAAATATTTCAATTGCACACGAACTGTCTGGCCACTGTGTATAAATGAGAAAAGTTGAGCAAAGATTTAGGAACAACTGATAAAGACCAGAACAGACATGAAACCCCAAATGAGAAACGTCAAAGAATTATTCAGAACATAGGCCAGAGGGAACAAAGTCCTATCGAATACTGGCAAATGAAATTCAGAAATAGGAAAAAAAATCATAGGGAAAAAACCCTTTGGTAATTAAAAATTATATAAACAAGTGAGTTATTGAAGAGGTAAAAATGAGACATTACTGATTTGAATTTCCCTGTCTTGGTGACAACATGATAAAGGACACATTTGCAGTGACGAATTTGAAGTTAAAAAATCTATGATGTCTCCACATTTCCTAGTGAAGTAAAAGTCTCAATCATCATGTGATTAAAGAGTAACCCTGATAAACGTGTATATATTCATACTAATTGGAGTTTTCAGGGGCTCAGTTTTAAACAATGGGGAAAACATAATTCTTAAAGAATGAAGTTGGTATGAATGTGTTTGTAGTAGGTGTGAGAGATGGATAGAAATGGGTCTTCATGAAAAATATTACTGCAAAGTTTTTAATAATGAAAAAGATACCCAATATGAAATCGATGTGGTTTTGACATACTAATATTAAAACATGCATTCCTTTTTCTACGGCACTCTCTACACGTAAACTTTACCTTTTTAAAACTTTGTACTCACATTTGCTGCCGGAAGATGTCACGCTGCCTATGGGAATCTCAGCTGTCTGTGAATCTTCTGGGCCTTTCTATTTTAAATTAAAAAATAATGCATGGAAGGTAAGTAACAGTCATCACTTTGTTGAAAAATGACACATCTGAAGAGTTGTGTTGATTTTTTAGAAGATATTTTAATACGTTAGACATATATTAGAACCTCTAAATTTCAGAGACGACACACTCTGTAGAGCCGAAAGTCTGTGGGCACAGGGTATGCTTTTTGTATGATCCACATTTAGATGAAAATAGCAGTCTTAGATAGCTCAGAATCTTCCAGGAAGAGCTGGAGGCTATCAAGACCGTCTGTAATTCAGACTACTAAATTATGTAAGCTTTTATGAAATTCAAAAGCTGTAGCAAAAAATGATTCTTGACCTCGTTTGGCACTTCTCCTGTATTATGGTGTGGATCGAGGAGTCATGTAATCTGCAAGCAGATGGCATATTCTGGCTGGGTAAGAAACCCTTGCAAACCCAACACCTCATTTCATCCATGGAAGCTTAATATTCTGTTTTAACTGCTTTGCCAGAGAATCTTGGCAATTAGAAACATAGATTCACAGAATAACAAAATCCATCTATAATAAATTAAAAATTTTCCTGTCATCCTTTCATATGACAGAGAAGTGAGGTTTCAAAATTGGCTTTATATTACATTATGAGTTAAGATTATATGATTTTGTGTCAGAGAATGACTCACAGTTCAATTTCTGGGAAGATCCTTTTCCCCTCTATGCCTGAGGTTCTGATTCTTCTATTCAAAAGAAAAAATACTTTTTTTATCTGCCTCTTAAATGTGTCCGTTTAAAAGCATAGTCATATAATTCTATCAACCCAAAGTTGTGGAAACTTGGACACAGATTTAATGTGAGACATGAGCACCATTTTTTTCATGTAAAGGAAAGAAACTAAACTGCACATATTAGTAAAGTTCACATATTAAAATAATGGCAATTATTCAGAAGATGTAATAATAGGTTGTTTTTGGAGAAGAACTGCCAAAAAGGTAGGAACCACTGGATACAGGTCTAAGAGAAAGTTCACAGCTCTCTTCCCTGAAATTGGGTAGATGTAGAAACAAAAAACAATGTCATCCCTTTATGTTATATCAAAAGCCTAGTTATAATCAAAATACTCTAAAGTCCTATGAAAAGATAAGAATTCTAATATTTGTTCTGGAAGGTTTTGTTTTTCATAAAAGTTACATATTGTCACACTGTGTAAAGAATTTAGACCCAAACATCCAAGACCCCTGGTTGATTGGAGGGGATTGGAAGTTCTACACTTTTCTGAGAAACATAAAGTGAAATCCATCAAACAATTGAAAAGGTTCATATTATTTCTGTTTTGCCTTAGGTTGATCTTATAGCTTAACTCCCAAAAGAAAGGGTGAAACCATTAGGGAGCTAGAGGGTTCAAATCGTTCAAACTAGGTTAGCTTCAGAGATTTGCTCATATGTATCTTGGAGTTCTGGATGCCTCATTCAAACAGAAGGAATAAAGTCAGGATTAACATGATTTTAAAACTAATCCCAGCCTGAAGTTATCTTCTCTCAGACCACATTCAAAATACCTAAGCAATAAATACAGTAAGTTTCCTAAAATCATATTTTAAAGGAATTTTTTTGTTCACATCTCTCCGTGAACATTCGATGTACAAAGTTACATTTTGCTGTCCTAATGTCTCAGGGATAGCATGTCATCATGTTTCCATTGAGTTAGAGATCTACCTTTGAATTATAAAACCCCTACTCCAAGGCCATGGTTACGGGAGGCAAGTTTTCTAACAATCATATATTACGTACACGTTTGTCCTATCTCTATACTTGCTATTTTAATAATTAGGATGGGAATACTGTTTTAAACCTGATCAGAAGTTTTTGAGAATTAACATGAGAGATTTTGTTGTGGAAAGTTTCGAAGATGCTCGTTAGGAAACAGCTTATTGGGGATAATCAGTTCTCCCCCTCACTATGAAATGAATGTCCTGGTTCTAAGTGCATGAACTCAATTCTCTGCATTTATTTACATCCACCAAGCCATGACTAAGGATCACTCAGAAGGGAAAATCTAAAGATCCACTGGTTTATAAAAGCTTATCACCAAAATGATTGAGGATTTGTGTGTCAATCTGATCCCATATGTGTATCAATGTGGTACCGACAGTAATGATTTGAATCTACAGAGAGGGCTTTCTGCTTGTTACAACAACACCTTTCAGATAATTGACAAGGATTCCCAAACAGTATCAATCATGGTCAAGAATAGAAAAATCAGGAGTTTGGAGTCTATTTGTTTATCCTACTGATTTTGATCTGTTCATTGAAGAATCAAGAAAAGAAGGTGGATCAAATCATTAGAGGCTTCAGACCGGTCACCTACCAACTGCATAGTTGAAGAAGATTTGCCTCTGTCTGCCTGGTCACTTAATTCAGAGTTGAGTTCGAGATGGTGGGAATGCCCCATGTGCCCATTAACCAGTGACAGGCCCTGCTGGGTGAGGATGGTCTAAAATTAGTGCAGCCTTTGCCAATCCCACGGTTCCAGCTAACATGTTCCTTATTGGCCAAAGTGATGGGTGGCACCAAAAGAACTTGGAAAAATGTCAACATGATAAATATTTGCTCAAATGCCTCATCTTAGAGAAGTTTAGGCCTGCTCCCAAACATCATGCGTATTTAGAACGTTTGAAGAATGCCACTTCAGAAATCTGCAGTTATGATTAAAAGAGGCTTAAATGGTGGTAGCTTTTGTATTGTCTTTTTTATTTACTAAAATTATACAAAATTTAAAATTAATTTAAATATGTATACAAAATTAATTTTAATCTATGCCAAATTAAAATTAATCTAAATATTTATGGAAAATTAAATTTAACATAAATACTAATGAAAAATTAAAATTAATCTAAATATTTATGCAAAATTAAATTTAATCTAAATACAATTAAATGTAAATTATGCCAAATTAAATTTAAGCTAAATATTTATGCAAAATTAAATTTAATCTAAATATATAATAAATCTAAATATTTATACAAAATTAAAATTAATCAAAATATTTATGCAAAATTAAATTTAATCTAAATATACAATTAAATTTAAATACTTATGCAAAACTAAATTTAATCTAAATATGTATACAAAATTTAATTTAATTTAAATATTTACACAAAATTAAATTTTGAATTCTTTCCAAAGGAGATACCAAAATGATAATCGAAACTGCATTGTACCCTGTGCCTACTAAAATATCTCCAGAAATGTATTCATCAGTTAAAGCACTTGTCCATTTTAAAGCATTTGCATTCCTTTCATTTCATGCTATATCACACATCTTGAAACTATATTCTTTAACTCATTTTGAGTTCCCTGACAAGCCCATGGAGAATCTGAATAAACTCTACATTTTTTGGATGTTCAGAATTTCATTTACTCATATTTCCACCCATTTAAATTTCTAACTACCATGGTATGTGTAGATCAATAGGTTGGCTTTGTAATTTAGTTTTCCCAGTCCAGAAATACCAATCCATTGTGTATAAATGGCAATCTTTTATTGTTCTTTTACGCTTCTTGAGGTTAGAATTCCTTCTGTGGGAGTTAATTTCCTAAACTTTTAGGATAGATGCCATGAGGGAAGCTGGCATTCCTGATTTACAATAGCACCCCACACTGAACCCTAGACCAAAGAAAAACCCTACTTTATTAAAACAGGAAAATTTTTATACAAGTTGATCTGCAGTATATTTAAAATCTTGAAATGTATTTATTATCAAAAGTTTCAAACCCAGAAAAGCTGAAAGAATCCCTCTATCTATCCATGAAGCCATCTTATTTTTTGATGAATAAAACAAAATTCTGAACAAATTTAGGGATGATAAATAGAGCTGTTATTTACTTATTTACTGAAACAGAGTTTGACTCTGTTGCCATAGGTAGAGTGATATGGCATCATAGCTCACAACAACCTCAGCCTCCCAGGTAGCTGAGACTATAGGTACCCACCACAACACCTGGCTAGTTTTTTAATTTTTTAGTAGAGACTGGGAGTCTCATTCTTGCTCAGGCTGGTCTTGAACTCCTGAGCTCAAGCCATCCACCTGCCTCGGCCTCCCAGATTACAGGCATGAGCCACCGTGCCTGGCCTCAGAGCTGATATTTTAAAAGGACTACCACGGTTTGTTTTGGCACAGACAAATCTACCTTGCCAGTTGTTATATGAACAGCTAAAGAGCCAGGCATACATAGAAAACCAGAGAACTGCTGAGCCCCACAACTTTGTAAAGCAAAACGGCTTGATTTTAATCTCCTGGAGTTCTTTGTCAGCATTTACCTTTCTAACCCTCCTAAAAGTCCACAAATGAACCACGTTGCTTTTTACATTTTATCATATACGCAGACATTTATCACAATCACAGTGAAATAAATTATTAGAGCTGAAAAAAACATGTTTGACACAAATCCCATTCCTGAACTTCTTGTTTTTGTCATTATAAATTTCCTTGAGATAAAAAAAGACAGGTGAGTCTGTGATGTTCCAAGCTTTTGTCTGCTTGTCTATTTGTTTTTGGTTAGCAAACATCCAAAAGACTGATTAATAGCTAGGACACTGGGTCCCTTCATTCCTCAGACATGAAATAGTCTCCTGTTTCTAAACCAACTATGAAGGTTAATTAGAAGGTTGTAACAAGTGCATTAACTGCCCAGCAACAGATGTTTAAAGAAATGAACGACTACACTTACGATGAACCTGCCAGTTGGAGTGGTCTGTGCACTCTTGAAATCAGAGCTCCGTCCCTTACATAAACAACTTCGTGAAGACATTGTGAAATAAAAAGTGAATATTACAAAATCCTTAAGCAAAATAAAACTGAAAATATACCTTGTCATTTGGTGAGACGAGAAGAACAAAACACTTTTCTAACAGGAAAAATCCATGGATGCCTCCAATTAATCCCAACAGTTTCCAGATATGACCTTGGCTTTCATGGAAATGTTCAAATTCTGGGGCTTCCTGCTTATGTAAACCAAGAATCTTTTAAAAAAAAATGAAAGAAAAAAAAGAAGGAATAACTTTTGATGACTTAAATGTCAAAGAAGAGGCATAGCATTGCATATATTTAACTTTCATTCTGGGGAATCCCAAGGTAATTGAATCACTCAAAGCCAAGTTTGTTTGGGGTATGTGGCTGCTTCTACTCTAAGGTTAAATCAGGATCAAATAAAGTATCAACAATAGAAAACAAAAAAAGAGCTTTGAATAGCTTATGCTAATGAATACAGCGAAGTCTAAGCTTTACTTCAACAAGTGGCCTAGATTTTTATCCCTTCTCAGTCCTTTGGACAAATTTGCTTACCAGGAGTTCAATGTACATCTGTTTGCACAGCAAAGTTTCATAAGATATTAATGTATTTTGAATCCAGAATACCTATAAAGATATATTTCATACGGGGTTTATTTTCCCCAAGCCTCATTGCAATTAAATTAAATTATAATAAATATTTAGATAAATAAGAAATCCATCTGGAAGACTTGCTCCCTTGAGTGCAGACTTGGATATATAACTAGCAATATTTTCAGCTCTCTGAGACACAAAAGGACACAAGAAATACACTAGAAATGTTTCTATAGTTGGCTCATCTCACTGCAAGTTCATCCAGTTGGTTGACCTCATGATTTCTTGTGAGCTAGGAAATCACTGCTCATATTTCCTCTCAAAGAGAAGACAATTTGTGAAATGGCTCAGTGGTGTCTGGATTTAGGATGTGGCTATCAAATTAAAAAAAAAAAACAAGGAAGAAATTGCATGTGTATGGATTGCATGCACCTATGTTCATATACAGTAGGCATTTGTGTGTGCATATATTTACGGGGGGGCTACCACTGAAGTTTACAAACTTATCCTAGAAAACATGCCACATGCCTCACTGCTGAATATCACTATGGTCACCTTTGAGGCACCCCCGTTGGGAGGCTATGCACTGATGCCAGTGCCTAGTCTACCTTTCAAAACAATTTTGGAACTTTTTTCTAGAATGGCCATGAGAGCAAACATACAAGGTCTTACAAGTTCACTAACTCATCCTAGAAAAAGGGCTACATCCCGCATTGCTGAATAGCACTACAGTCACCAGATGGCCAAGGGGAGTACCTTGAAGGGGACCATAGCGATATCTTCAGCAATGAGGTATGTGGTACTTTTTCCAGGGTGAGTTTGCAAACTTAATTGTCTTACCTCCTATCTATGTTTGTGCATGTATGTGAACGAACATATGTGTGAGTCCATAGATATCCACACACATAAACTGAGTACATTGGTGTCACTAAAAATGACAAGTTAGTTAGCTTTTTCTTTCAGTAAGGACATTCAAGGATGCGACCCAAAACTTGTAATTACCGTCCATTCACAAAATAGACAGCATTGTAATATCACAAAAGATAAGAAAAACCTACAGCCTCAGAGTAAACTCTAAATCTTTAAGTTGAATTAATTTAGCTAACTGCAAAAGGAAATCAAGAAAATAGTGTCGTTCTTATTTTTGTGCAGACCTTTGAAAACCTACTATGGCTCACTGATTTTTCCAGCTTGCTCCTACACGTCTCCTACATCTTTCTTCTTTTGCCTTTATCTCTTTTCTCAAGTAAACAAAACAAAAGCCCCTGCCTTCTAAATTTCACAAAACTGAGCCGGTCTTTTAAGTCTTCCTCTGTAACACGCTCTGCCCACGTCCCAGTCCACCCTCCGGCCCTTGGGGTGTGGTCCTCCATCTAGGGAGACGCAGGCATCCTTGGGAGCCTTTGCTGTTTCCCAGGATCCTGGGCAGTAAACAATTCTGCAGCCCTGCCGTGACCTAGAAAAAAGGCCTGGGCCACCGCCTCAAGCCAATAATAAGCCCTGAAGTATTTCCAGAAAATTAGATTACCAGGGAAATTAAGACTAATAGTGGTTTGTTTCATTTCTCCAGTGCTCACTTTGCGATTTTTCAGATCATGGAATAATTACCAAGGCTCTAATCAACCAGAGTGACCCTGTAGGAAACCGCCAGAGGCTTGTGGAAAATTTTAACATCGCAGGCTTTGGGCGGGGGGCACGGTGATCACTGGGGTCCACGGTTATTATCCCTCGTGAGAGATTTCAGAGGGAATTGGTAACCTGGCCTGTAGAACCGATAAGGTTCAGCAGGACAGCTGAAGAGACCCTTTGCAATTCAGGTCTTAGTTTTTTCATTTCTGACAAATAAAGAGCCTCAGAGGACTTCAACAGAGCATCCTGAAGCTTTCATGTTTCTTAAGAAAAATCTACATTAATCAGCCTAGAAAAAATATTCCATTTGGATGGCTGAGACTTTGAAGGGCCATTAAGGTGGTGCTACTACAGAGGAGGGCAGAGTCAAGGGTAGGAAGTATAATGAGGCAGGCAGAGACTAGCAACCCCAGGAAACTATGGCCACCCTGAGGGATGAAAGCGGAGAGAAAAGAAATAATGTTGCCAAACCTCAGCAATTTCTAGAGCAGACACAAGAGGTAGGAAGAAGCAGGAAGAAATGTCACTGCCTCTGTCTCCTCCTACCCTGGGTTTTGGTTGTGCCTCCTATCAGCTGGACCCAACCAGAAATCCTCCGTGCAAGGGAGGTGAGGAGATACAAGCTCCTGGAGAAGGACAGACAGCAGAGGAGAGTGGGCATGAAGCTGATGTGGGGTGGTGGGGAGGTGATCAGAGAAAAACCAGCACAATGCCTCACAGCCTGTTTACTTTTTTATTTATAGATAATTAGCATATGCTTCCTGAATCTATCTATCTTTCTTTTTTTTTCCATTAAATCATAGCTGTGTACATTAATGCAGTCATGGGGTACAATGTGCTGGGTTTATATAGAATTTGGAATATTTTCATCAAACTGGTTAACATAGCCTTCATGGCATTTTCTTAGTTATTGTTTTAAGACATTTATATTCCACATTTAGTACATGTACCCTTATAAGATGCACTGTAGGTGTGTTAGAAATCTAGATCTGATCACTTTTTCTGTATTTCAAAAATAAGAATGCCAGGGCAGCACCTGTGGCTCCAGGAGTAGGGCGCTGGCCCCATATACTGGAGGTGGTAGGTTCAAACCCGGGCCTGGCCAAAAACTGCAAAAAAAAAAAGAACAGGTACAGAGAGGCTCCGGGGAAATAAGATTTCTTTCCATGGAAAATGCTGACCACTGTGTGCACTCATTAAAGTCACTGTAAAATTTCACGTAAGTACCCCCAGGGGTTAAATGTAGAGAGAAATTAGACACAGTCCACCTGAAGTGTTAAAGAGCTGATTACCTGTGGGATAAGGTGAAGCAGAGCATCTCCAGAGAGTGTTCCCACAGCCAAGCCCACAAACAGCTGCAAGATGAGCTTGTAGTTCTCCTCACAGCTGTGGAAAAGGACCAGTGCTGTCCCCAGCATGGAGCCCAGTGTGAGCACAGTCACAGCCACCGTGCTGTAGCCATATTCTAAGCCAAAGGAGATCACAAATATGGTCAGCAATTCATGGATGCCCTCTGTTCAGACTTCAGCTACAGAAAATGCCAGAAGAATCTTTCTCCTGGTAACTGCTAACAGGGATATGGAAGTTTTAAACAGGTGTTATATATATGGCATAAAAAGGTTTCAATTTTTAATAGGAAGTATTAATGGACTCACTATGGTCCGAATGTCTATGTCTCCCCAAAATTCATACGTTGAAATCTAAGCACCGAGGTGATGGGATTAGGAGGTGGGGCATTTGCAAAGTGATTGGGTCATAAGAGTCCCCCCTCCACCTTGAATGGGATTAGTGTCCTTCTAACAGGCCTGAAAAGACCAGAGTTACTCCCTTCTACCAGGAGAGGACACAGCCAGAAGGTACTAGCCCAGGAGCCAGGAGGCGGACCCTCACCAATGCTGAATCTGCCAGTGCCTTGTTCTCAGACTTCCCAGCCTCTAGAACTATGAGAAATAAATGTCTGTCGCTTATAAGCTGCCAGTTTATTGTATTGGGTTGTAGTAAAGATTAGGACAAGGCACTCACCAAATAACCCTATTGCTTTGAAGTACTCTGATGACCCCTTACTAAAAATCACTGTGGCAAGTAAGAACTAAGCTCCCCTCCCATCCCCGAAGACACTAGAGTAGAACCTCTGTAAGTTGACCACCCAAGGGACTATAACAACCTGGCCAACATACACAGGGGGTCGACATAAGGAACTAGGCCTCCTGTACTGACAGGCATGTGTGGTGCCTGTCTAGTCTATGAAATCAGGTGCATGTAAGGACGTGGTCAGTGTAGGGAGGTGGCCAACTATGGAGGTTCTATTGTACATTCTCTCACTTGAAACTCCAACATCCACGGACAGTCACTAGTAACTATTTCCATCTAATCACACTGAAAACCTCTCAAAGCCAAGAAACAGTGTTACAGGGGAAGAACAATATGTGACACCATCACAGACCTATGTTTGTGTACAGAATGAGAACACACTTTGGAAGAACTTTCTTCCGTGCGTTCCTAAAGTTATTTGGACTATCCAAGGGGTTATTATCCTCAATGACTAAAGTGAGCGATTTTATTGATGAAAACTGATCCATGGACATGTAGCAGCTAATAGTATAAACAGTCTGCATTTTAGATGTTTGCAATAATTTTTATAATCCTTAAAACTTATTTTGTGTTTCTAGGCTTCCAGGATTTTTTAACATTCAGAAAGTACAATTTTTAAGATTATTCAAGGAAAACCAAATACATTTGGTTACAGAAATAAAGGAGAAGGAAAAGAAAGAAGAAAGAAAAATGACTTTCAGCATCAAGTATAAATGATATGGGGTTAAAAAGTCACTCACACCATCATTTTCATTTAATTGCAGATATTCCAAACAAACGATTCCTTCCCCCACACTTATTTAGAAATTACTGACAAGTCATGGCAAACTTTTGTAAACAGTGAGGAAAAGTAAGTGTGCAATTATCATTTTCTTTAGTGATTATGGATATTATATAATTTAAATCAAACCATTTCATTATTATAATACTTAAAGCTCACTGCAGGGTTGTGTTGTTTTGTTTTTTTGTTTTTTTGTTTTTTGTTGTTTGGGGGTTTTTTTGAGACCATCTTCCTCTTGTTGCCCTGGTAGAGTGCCATGATGTCATAGCTCACAGCAACCTCACACTTCTAGGCTTGAACAATCCTCCTGCCTCATCCTCCCAAGTAGCTGGGACTATAGGCACCCACTACCACCAAAATATCCGGATAGTTTTTCTATTTTAGTAGAGGCAGGGGTCTCACTCTTGCTCAGGCTAGTCTCGAACTCCTGAGCTCAAGCAATCCACCTGCCTTGGCCTACCAGACTGCTAGGATTCATGCAGCACTCACTCTGGCCATCCATGCAGTTTTTAAGGAAACTATCCTCTTAAAGGCTGTTATGATAGGAAGTGTCCCATTCTCACCATCCTTGTATTTTTCTAGAAAGTTTACCCTTCACCTTAAATCATAATAATACAACTGGTAACATGGCAATAGGCTTGGGATTCTACAAAGACCTTTTTTGAACAATAAGTTGTAAATTTTACAGAGGTCTAATATTGAAATACCTTTAGTGGTATTTTGAGAAGAAGAGTCAGGAACTTGTAACCAGGTTCTATCTTAATGTTTGGCATTACTATAAGAGGACTTGACCTAGCCACTAAATTATCAGTTACTTCTGAGAAGCTGTCTTCGATAGGTCTGAAGTTTGGGCCATAATAGTCTTTCCTAGAAATTCAACTGAAGGTGGTACTTAGGCAGTGAGTTTCTACACATTGAACAATATTTTCTTTTCTTTTCTTTTTTTTTTTTCTTTTTGAGACAAAGTCTCACTATGTCGCCCTCAGTAGAGTGCTATGGCATTGCAGCTCATAGCAACCTCCAACTCTTGGGCTTAAGTGATTCTCTTGCCTCAGCCTTCCAAGTAGCTGATACTACAGGCACTCACCACAACACCCCAGCTACTTTTCTTGTTGCAGTTGTTTAGTTGGCCCAGGCTGGGTTTGAACCCGCCACCCTTGGTGTATGTGGTTGGCGCCATAACCACTGTGCTATGGGCACCGAGCCAAACAATATTTTCTTAATAATGTCTCCGTCTTCCCATCTTCAATGTAACATTACACATTTCTGTAAGTCCAAAAGGTCAATACAAACCTTTTCTGCTAATTATATAACGCAACATTTTCAATGGAGTTAAGTAATATTTTTCTAGATTCTTTAGTGAGTGTAACTTGATATTTTTCATAGCAAGACTACTCCTTAGAACAGTGATTTTCAGCCTTTTTTATCTCACGGCATATTTGAACCTATAGTTAAATTTCCATGGCACACTGAAATTATGTTGATCAAAAAAAAAGAGTTACAAAAAAGAATACACTTATTTTGCTTTGAACATCTTTCAAAAATAATTTAAGATTGTTACAAATTTTGGCAGCATACCTAAGACTCTCTCACGGCACACCAATGTGCCTTGGCATACCAGTTAAAAAATCACTGCCGACCAGTCTGATGGAAGTATTTCGGATTGCATGTGAAAACCCACACTATACCCCAGAAGTGCATTAATGTACATAGTTACCATTCAATAAAAAAAAAATTAAAAGGGAAAAAAAATCACTGCCCTAGAAAGATCTAGAAGTTCATTAAAAAGGGGATATGACTTTTTCATAATCTTAAGTTCCAAACCCTTTTCAGAGAGGCCTGTATGTATCAGGCACCATGTCAGGTGGTGGGAATATAAATACACCCCAGGAAGTTCCCTGGTGCCACATTTCTGTTCTCATCCATTCTATCAGCATCACCGATGGACTCCAGTCATAATGGACCCCATGGCACTGAAGTAGAAACCTGGCTGACTACCAAGTGCTGAATTACTTAGCTGCTCACTATTAATGTTTTTTTTTTTTTTCCTCTGAGTGAATGTGGAGTCTTCGATATGTAGGCCCCAGCGTGGTTTTGTTCACATAAAATCTTCAAATGCAGAATTCACAGTGAGGAGCTGAATGATTTAGGTGTGATGGGCATTTCAGGCTATTTCAGAGAGAAAGAAATGTCCCAACACCTCTCCCCACTTCATCTCAGTACCCTGCCATCTCCCTTCTCCTCTTCCTTTTCTCTCCTCTCTCTCCCCTGTCTCTTGTAAATAAACTCTTCTTTCTATACTAATCTTTACCCAAAAATTCTTTCCTTACCCGAGTTCCCCATCCTTACACTTTTCATGATTTCCAAGCTCTCTAGTAATTTCTCTAAACTATTACCCAACCATCTTTATGCTTTCTTTGTGGGGCACATTGACTCCTACATGAGACTTTTCACCATCCTCCCAGCAGGAGAGAGAGAGAGAGAGATCTAAAAATGTTCATATAAGACCCTCAGATCAATAGTAACACTTTACAGTTCCATGCACTCACTGTCACATTTTTACTAGGTATCACGGATGTCTGTAGGCCAATAACATTAATTTTGGACTTTTAAATATACAGTGCTTCAAATTTACTGAACACATTTTTGTACCCATTATTTAATTTGAACCTTACAGGGAACCCGTGATGCCTTCACATCCTGGGGCTGCCAATCACATCTGGAAGGCTGGTACCTCCTTCCCAGAGCAGATGCTCTTTGATTTACCCCAGTGTGCCTTTCTTTTTAATACAGGCCATCATGTGAGGGGAAAAAAGCCTATAGGAGCTCCCTGCTTTCCAGCATGCAGAAAAAGAAATAGGATCTGGGAAGCAGAGAGATTGGCTAAGATCGCAGAGTATCTGGGAAAAGAAGGTGTGACTCAGGGCTGTGTTTCAGACTCCAGGGTTTATGTACTTTTATATCATTCCCCTTCTCAGCTATGGACTTTTAAGTTGGCCCTTGATTAAGTCCAGTTCAGGAGACAAAAATCAATTTGTATAAATTATAGAAAAAATGTAATACATTCCTTGAAAAGAAGTATCCCATAGTGATTAGAAACAAAGACTCTGGGACCAGCTTGCCTGGGTTTGGATCCCAACTCCTTTTCTTACCAGCTGTGTGTCTTTGGAAAGTTATGTGACCTCTCTGTGCCTTCGTTTTTTCGACTATATAACGTGGGTGATAAAAACATCTAGCAGGTAGTGTCATCGGAAGGATCGCATGGGTTGGTGAATGTAAAACGCTAGCTATCACAGCACCTCGTATGTAGTAAGTATCCCACCTTCATTGTTACTACCATCCACATCCGCTTCCCGAAGGAAGAACCAGAACTTACTTTCCAGAGTGCTGGGGGGCAGCTTTGCTTGCTGGTTCTGGGGCAGCTGGCAAGAGCAGCTGAGCAGTTGCTGGATGATGCCAGGACTCATTTGCTTAAAGTCCTCCTTAGAGATGGACCAAGGATGGCTGTTCTGTAGAAATATCTCCACCAGCTGTCTAGCAGAGAAGCAGGTCTGTGAGGCGAAAAACATTCATCATTACTAACTTCAGCGCTCAGCCATATTCACTCCCAGTTGGGCATTCTGGAGGAGTCAGAACTAGACAGAACAGCCGGGATGAACACCTGAAGCCATGTGGGCATGTGCTCACCTACCACCTTTCCTCCCTAAATAATGTCTAAGGATTCTTTTAAATCTCTGATCCAACTCCTCGGTACCTCGCCTCCATTTGGACTATTGTTTAGTGCAAATTTTAGACACTTTCTTCTTTCTTAAAAAAGATCTGTTATGTTTTACAAGGTGTTGAAGGGTGTTCTAACCTGCAGCCTCAGAAAGCCTGGATGTTTTGTTGTTTTTCAGCGGGAATAGTTTTGCATCAACAGAACTCAGACTTCACATGATTAGCAAGAGCTCTGGGGTAATGAGGTCACTGTCTGTAATACCCCCTAATTTAATAATCCTGTGTAGGCAATGTGTATTTTCCAAGGCAGTAAGTTAAAAAAAAAATTTTTTTTTTTTTGAGACAGAGCCTCAAGCTATCGCCTTGGGTAGAGAACTGTGGCATCACAGCTCACAGCAACCTCCAACTCCTGGGCTCAAGCGATTCTCCTGCCTCCACCTCCCAAGTAGCTGGGACTACAGGCGCCCGCCACAACGCTGGGCTATCTTTTTTTTTTGGTTGCAGCCATCATTGTTGTTTGGCGGGTCCGGGCTGGATTCGAACCCGCCAGCTCAGGTGTATGTGGCTGGCGCCTTAGCTGGTTGAGCCATAGGCGCCAAGCCATAAGTTAAAATTTTAAAAAGTGAATGCTGTGCCAAGTGGCTGATGTATAAACACTAAATGATATGGACACTTCTCAATGGAGAGCCTTTCCCTGGAAAAACAGGTATAAATATTACTTCCTATGACTTTCTTGATTTTTATCTAAATATTTATAGTTTTTCTTATTATTTGGACATATTCATAAGAGAAACATAAGTCAACAAGTACCACAGGTCTCTCCAAATGGCCACAAGGCATTTAATTGTCCATCTCAGAAGTAAGGGCTGATGTTTTGAGCGTCAAAAATTACAAAACGTTTTTCTAGGTGAATGAGAGTGGTCTGTAGTTTTGCCAGCATAAATGGATGTCTTCTACTCAAATAAGACACCTAAGCAATGTCTTTGTGAACTGTAGTTGCAATCAGTAAAAACTAGTGATTTACAAAGCTGGTCTGATTTTCCATGCTCTCAAACAGTTGTTTTAAAAACGCATTGCTAATCAGAAAATAATGACAGAAACCCCAGAAAATAATGACATTTTGCTGTTTTTCCTCCCCCTCATATACAAATCTTTGGGGTTGATGCCTCGGACAAAAAGCTTTGTCTTGATCAGGAAATATTTGGTCACATGCAACAGAACCAACTGAAACCAAGAAGCAAGAGGAAACTGCATTAGGAAGTCATAGAGAATGGCAGAGGATCCAGGCATTGAAAGGATGCCTGTACCCCGTAAGGAACTGTAACCGGAAGCTGGAAATGAGAGCCCAAGGTGTGCAGGTAGCGGGTCTGCTCTCACTCTCTCCCCTGTCTCTTGCCACACATTTATCTCCTTCCCCTCTACCCATATCTATTTCCTTTCACAACTGGTCCTCTCTCATTTAGTAAACACAAGGCCATGGAGACTTCTACTCTGAAGTCAACTTGCAGTCAAAGAATCCAAGAGTGGGTTGAGTCTGCAAGTCTGGAGAGAAATCTGATTTGTTCAGCCAAGCCACACATGGGCTCCCTTGGGTCAGGCGTCCATCCATCCGGTGCCATCAATTCTGCCCATGTGGTAGGAATGTGCAATAATGCTGTTCCAACACTGCCTCATCTCTAGGGGCATTTCAGAAAGTTCTCTCCTACAAAAAGCACCAACAGAAAACTAAACTACCCCCTTTGTCAAAATAATGTGTGCCAAAGACACATTTGTTACTGTCACCATTTGTTACTGATAGAATGTCATTTTTTCATCATTAAAAATATCAAAAAAAAAATAAATACTTAAAAGGAAACTAGCACAAACTTTTGATGAGGAAACCTTCATCATGAATGTCCCTATTGGAAAATGCTGGACTAGGAAGTAAAGGAATGGAGAGAGAAACAAGAACAGAATGCCGGGCATCCTTCCCTGGTTTATTGTCAAGAACATTCAGTATTATTAAGAATAAGTAAAGGGTAGGCACAGTGGCTCACGCCTGTAATCCCAGCACCCTGGGAGGCTGAGGCAGGAGGATCCCTTGAGCTTAGGAGTTTGAAACCAACCTGAGCAAAAGTGAAAACCCTGTCTCTACTAAAATTAGAAAAATTAGAGGGGCATGGTAGCCAGTGCCTATTGTTTCAGCAACCGGGGAGGCTAAAGCAGGAGAATCAAGTGAGCCTGCTGTGAGGTTGCTGTGAGTGGGGCTGACACCAGGATACTCTAGCCTGGGCAACAGAATGAGTCTGTCTTAAAAAAATAAAAAGAAACATAAAAAATATAAGATACAGATTGTGTTCAGTAGAATACAAATTAAAATACAAATGACGAAAATATTTTAACTTATTTAAATCAACATTTCCCAAACCATAACATGGTTGTTAAGAACACAGAATATGCTAGCCAACAACCTATGTATGTATCAGTATCAATGAACTTAGCTAATGACTTATCAATGACTTATTGGCTCCGTGTCTCAATTTACTCATCTGTAGGATGGACTGATATAAACCATCGTATGGCTGTTACAGTAGCTAAATGAGGTAATGCAAGTTAAATAGAACAGGGTTTGACCCACAATAAGTATTCAATAACTAAATCATGGTCATAGGATATCAATGTCTCAGGATTTTAAAGGATTAGACCAGAGAAAAATTCTATGATCAAAGTTTGAGGAATGCTAGTTTGATAAGACTAAAGAAACATCTGTTTAGTAATAGACCTCTCTAGACATTAGAGTGAAACGTGCATTTCCAGTATTTGTCCACCTGATTTGACCACAGTTCATCAAGACACAACAGTGAAGAATGACTCTTACAACACAACCTCACAGATCTGGGAGAAGATAAACACATCGTCTCTCAAAAACCTTCTTAGCGCCACCCACAATACAGATATTTTTCTGTTGTTCAGTGTCCAAAGTAATCTCTTCTTACTCTAACCTTTAAAGTGTTCATTTGTTCATCATAGTAATCACTTATGTAAAATTGGTCCTCCTCTACACTTTGTAAGTTCCATAGGAGCTGTGCCTAATTTTGTTCAACTCTGTATCTGTCATGCCCAGGATGGTGACTAGCAAATAGCAAATGCTCGACATACGTTTTCTGAATTAATTATGCACACATTCAATATGGACCCAAGGGAAGACAAAGCAATGTGTATGTCTTGTTTTTATGTTGACAGAGATAGACTTGTAGATAAAGAAAATCATGACCACACTATGGAAATAGAATATTTTTTACTTTGAAGAAAGTACACATTACCTTTTAAATTTTCTACAACTCTAATATATCTTTCACAGCTGGGATTCCTTTGGTAACAAGAAGTAAGGATATATAAGAGGAATAGTGTTAATACCTGATCCCAAGAAATTGGACCACCATCCAACTCCTTGTCCATGGAGACAGATAGATTAGGGTAGTCCCAATCATGGATAGTTGTGTTGTTTTGTTTCCTTTGAAATTGATGGATTTTATCCTTTTTAATACAGATACTTCTGGTCCAGAGAGTGCTGAGGAGCTGGTCTAGTTCTAGAAATTTCATATAAAATCTAGTGTCACACAGAATAGACAGGTCAACTTCAGAATAATCACAATTTCACAAGGCTGCAGCACAGATATTCCCTCACAAAGATAGTTCCACCATACTCATAACCTTGAGATGATGAAATGGGCAATTCCACCAATGGGAATGGCTTCCGTTGAGCCATGTATTTTTTTCTATCAAAATGTAAATTGGAGATTAAACTGGCTTCATCCTCAGGAAATGTATTCCCTTGAGGCACTACACATCTTTGATAGATTAAATATTATTTTAATATAGTTAAGTCAATCAAATTGTTTCCTTAAGCACATACAGAAAAGAAAAAAATGAAAGTGAGCTGAGATTAAAGAAACAAACTAGACCTTGTTTTCTAATGCTACTGTGGCATGGCCAACAGTTCATGCATTACAGTTCAGTTTTCCTCAATATAGCTCTAGTTTTAAAAAGGATAGATGAAAAGAAGAAGTAAATATAATACTAAATTTCTATGGACTTGTGTAATAAATAAAGAGGAAATGAGAGAATGAGAAAATCATTTGGTGATCCCTAAATAATTATTCACTCTAGGCAATGGTCATCAATACCTTATACTTCTCAAAAAGAGAGATGGCTGGCACTAACTATAAAACAGTTAAATAATCTAAAACTAAACAATCTTCTACATGCACCTAAAACATAATACATTGAAATACATGCTAAATGACTAAGAACACAATGAGCAAAATGCAGATGGTGAACAGCCCTCTTTTTTACCAACAAAATAATTTATAACAAAGTAGAGGGTGAGGAGGAATCATGACACCTATAAAAGAAATTTAGGTGACACACCAACAGTTTGTATTTTATGTATCTTATGGGGATCCTGAGTCAATAAAATCTAAAAACATTTTTTAAAAAATCAGGAAAATGTGAACATTGGCTAAAGTTTTATGATATGAAGGAATCTTTATTACTTTTTAGTTGTGATAATTAGTAATGGGATGCTTTTTTAAAAAAAAATCTCATCTCAGGGTACTTTGATGCAGATTTTAAAAATTAGTCATGTCACTTTTAATGCCTTGCCAAGTACAAAGAAGTGTGTAAAAAAACCCATCTGATTCCATTCATGATCCATTCCATTTTATCTTGGATCCCCAAAAGCTGGTGCTCAGGAATGGACATTTCATGTTACTTTTATCTAAAATCTCATGACTAACTTTTATGATTATAAGGAAACTGCTACCAAATATCTTGCACCATTTAGAATATTATCTGAACATTTTCTCACAGCACTTTATTACACCTGGCCCGGCATTATGTCCCAACTAGGAAAGTATTCTGTTAGTACTCATGATAGATCATCAAATCTCCCCTCTGGCTCTGCATCAGTAATTTCAATCACTGCAGAAATTGACCAAGTTCACAGTCTTGCCTCATCATCACGTAGATATCATAGCATACGTACCTTGAAAGGTCCCCTGAACTCTCTGACTATATGCTAAGAAAAAACAAACAATGATGACAAAAACTAAAACAGTGTTTAAAACCTACCTGAATGAATTCAGTCATCGAAACGTCACCATGTTTTAATTGGCATAGTTTATTCAGTAGATGTGGCTTGAAAGTTAAAGTAATGAATAACATCCTTACCTGATAGGTGGAGGGTATTTGTACTATTCAAAAAAGTGAAAATATACTCTGTGAAATAGTCTGGTGAAGGCAAGTTTCTTTGTCCCAGACAAACACCTTGGAGGGACAAAGCGATGATCATCGCTGCCAGTTGAGGAAGTGTATTTTCATCAGCACCATGTTTGCTTAGGATTCCTGATTTTTTCTGTAGTGTTTTGGTTTCCATACACTGAAATCAGATACAAAGTATGGAGAAAATTTTAACTTCTGAATTTCTTTTGATTAAAGCATGTCTTGGATTTCCAACTCCCCAAAATAAGGAATAGTTCATCTAAAAGAAAGTGAAATTGTTCATGGGAACATGATTATCATTTTCCCTTCTCAGACACAACACTCTTTGGAATATAGTTGTCTTTTTTATCTGCTGTGATGCTGAATTTTCTTACTTCCACCTCATTAGTCCTCATTAACCCAACTTTTCTCATTCCACTCTTACAGATGTATTTTCTCCAAGAGGATCTCCTGTTCTTTTTGCTTAACATCCTTTCAACTGATAAAGTGGTTTCTCCCAACTTCAAGTCAAATCTATATTCTCTATCTTCACTCCACACAGGCTCAGTACGGGGCACCCCCACTTCACATCTGCCTTCAGTCTCAAGCTCCGTGCGTGTGTGTGTGTGTGTGTGTGTGTGTGTGTGTGCTCACTGCATATCAAAGCTAACGCAGCAAACAAATGGCACTTAAATAAGCTGAAAATCTTCTGCATAACTAAGGATACAAAATTAAAACAAACAGACAACCTTTAGAATGGGAAAAGATATTTGCGTGTTAGGAATCTGACAAAGGATTGATAACTAGAATCTATAGGAAACTCAAATTAATTGATGAAAAAAGAGAAAAAAACCCATCTATCATTGGGCAAGAGACATGAACAGAACCTTCTTTGAAGACAGAAAAATGGCTAACAAACATGAAAAAAATTGTCCCTAATCAGAGAAATGCAAATCAAAATCACCCTGAGATACCATGTAACCCCAGTGGGGATAGCCCACATCACAAAGTCCCAGAGCTACAGATGATGGCATGGATGGGACTCAAACTAATATAGTTTTTTTGGAAAGAAATATAGAACTCAAAATAGACCTCCCATTTGATCCCACAATCCCATTACTAGGCATCTATGGGGAGGGGGGCATTTTATCATAAGGATATTTGTACTGGATTATTTATAGCAGCTCAATTTACAATTGCCAAGATGTGGAAACATGTTCAAATGCCCACGAACCCCGGAACAGATTAACAAAAATGTAGTATTACTATTCAGCCATAAAAAAAGATGGAGACTTTACATCTTCTGTATTAATCTAGATGGAGTTGGAACATACTCTTCTTAGTAAAGTATCAAAAAAAATGGAAAAGCAAACATCTAATATATACAATAATAATATGAAGCCAGTAGATGATCTAATATATCCCCACACAAGAGAAAAACTCAATTCAATTCAAGCTGGGAGAAGAGGGAGGAGAGTGGAGGGTTGGTGTGCTCACACCTAATGGGCACAATGTAAGGGTACATGGCACAACTCCTTCATGTAGGACACAACCACAACAAGGACTTTACTGTAACCTCATTGTTTGTGCTCTCATATTAATCTGAAAAAAATAAAATAAATAAAAACTAGTACAGTGCCTATGTTCTTTGAACTCCCAGAGAACATAGGACTTTAATCATAGATATAGGCTTATAGCCTATATCTCAGTGGTTAAAGCACTGGCCCCATGCACTAGAGGTGTTAGGTTTGAACCTGGCCTGGGCTGCTTAAAAAAAAAAAATGACAGATGTCAAGAAGGGTAAAAACGACCCATTGGATTTTCTTTTTAACCTGTAACTGGAGAGCTTAGCTTGGCAGGATCACATTTACAACTGTGGTGTGAAGTAGAGTAGAAGGCTGAGAGCCGGTTACCAGAATTTTGATAAATTTGGGGAAGAAGTCAGAAGTTCCAAAGGCGAAAACAACACCTTGGAGGAACAGAGAGTGTGAACCTTGTAGCATGGAGTTTCCCATGGAGGTTGTGAAAGAGTAACAGTCTCAAAGTTCCATTGAGGGTAAAGGAATATTTCCACCTCTGTTTCTACCCCTGAAGTCATTTGGGTGTGAATCAGGAAGGCTCATCCTGCACATAAGAGGCAGAGCTGCAAAGCACCATGACATGGAAATGGTGAACAGTAGAGAGAACTGAAGAGGTGGCAACATTAAGAGACTGAGTTAAGAAGAGAAAACACAGAAGGGTTTCAAAAAAAGGGAATGAAGGAACAGAGGGGTGCTACCTTTAATACTGGTAGGGCGGTTGGCTGGATTAGGATACTACGATGTGACATTATTTCTCTTGGGGAGCTACTTGAGGCTGATCTGGAGTGGCTGTTAGTGGTTTGACCTATGGAAGATGAGTCCCACATAGAATGAAACCAGAAAATGCAGGAATGATGGGCCGAGTGAGCACTCATCTAGTGAGCACCTCCCGTGGCCTCACTCCAACTAGTCAGGAAAAGCAACTACCCATAGTGGGCTGCGGAAAGCCTCCTGAAAAGTCTGGACTGACTAACATCCTACAGAACCCTGGCCAGGTGAGTGGAATCCCAGGCCCTTCCCAGGAGTGAGAGGCAGTGATGTTGCATGGGACTGTGGTCCCCAATCCCTGAGCCATGAACTGGTTCCAGTCTATGGCCTATCAGGAAGGGTGCCGCACAGCAGAAGGTAAATAGCAGGGAGCATTGTCTGTATTTACAGCCGCTCCTCGACACTCTTCTCACCTCCTGAGCTCTGCCTCCTGTTGGATCAATACTAATATGCATTAGCATTGAACACTTCCCATTATAGAGGAAATGAAGAAAATAAATTCATCAGAACTTGAATGGCATGAACCGTACTGTTGGCATGAACCCTACTGTAAACTGCGCATGTGAGGGATCTAGGTTTCATGCTCCTTGTGAGATTCTAACACTGCCACTGATCCAACAGGAGGTGGAGATGTGATGGGCTTGAATCATCCTGAAACCACCACCACTCCACCCCAGATCTGTGGAAAAATTGTCTTCAGTGAAACTGGGCCCTCGTGCCAAAAAGGTTGGGGACCATGCTGATCTAGGAGATTGTTGGTCTAAGAGTTTTGATACAGCAGTTCAACTCTTAATGACTAAAGCTAAATAATGCATTTCTATATATGATATTGAATTATTTTGTTAAAGAAATGTTTTATTTCACAGACCCTCTGAAGCCTGGATATTTGCAGTATGTGTAGGATAACCAGAAGCCTAGATATATACACACCATCTGCCTCCAAGTGCCAACTTTCCATTTTCATTTCTATTTCATCTGAACCAAAAGGCAGGAATGGGTAGAATGACTAAAACCCCAGCAATTGATTTGAACCAACCTTGTAATACATGTATTTTTCACTGAAGAAATTAGCCTAGGCAACTATCTGATTTAGGCAGAAAATTGTATTTTATAAGGGAACCCCTTTTTCGAAAATAAACATAGGAACAAAAAACAGCCACATTTTGAAATTTACAGGATTAGAGCTATTGATGTGACATTCACAAAGTCCCGAGCCAACAAACAGCCTTTCCATTTGCTCTGCCAATAACATTAGAGATTAAACATATTTACAACAAATTGAAGGGTGTATTTGCTGCTCATTAAGCTGGGACATGATTGCACAGATACCTTTGGGCTCCTAGAAGCCAGAATTGAGACAGAACAAAATTTCTATGTGTCAATGAATAATTCAAGAGATTAAAAGGGAAAAAAACAGATTTTAACCGTACTCCTCAAAATGTGATAATGACTTCTTAATTAATTCTTTGAGAAAACATGGCTTAAATACACTTCATGCTCAGGGAACTTTATCTGCTAAAACTTCCCACTGTTAACCAGAAAGCAAGAACCTAATCTGAAGGCCAGCTTTTGCTGGAATCAGTAATGGCAGCCAGAGAGATTCCAGTTGGAGTCAGCAGAGAGGAGGCGCATTTTTATGACCTCTGAACATAAACAGCACAAATCAAAAGTCACACAAGGGATATTGTCTAGTGTTGACAATCAATGAGGAATGTTTTTTTTTTTTCAAGCTGCTTGTTTGGTGAAACAATAATAAATTCATCTTTCTCAAAGTGTTTTGACCTTCTTCCCTGGCCAGAAGGCAAGGCAGATAGACAAACTGCCTTTTACCACTGCAGCTCAGTCAGTGGCGATTCATCAAAAAGCCTTGAGTCACTTACTTGTGTACTCAGGGGGATGCAGGAGAAGAGAGCTGTCCTGTCACCTGGCCTGCCTGTCCACCCACTTAACTTCTGGATAAAACTCATCTTCTAATTAGTCATTACATTTCCACTTTTGGATTTGAAATTTTAAATGATGTCACTCAACAGCCCAAAGTTAAAAACCACTTCAACCTCCCTTTGGAGTTCTTGAATGTCTGAGAAATAAATAAGAGAATAATAATAATAAAGTGCTGAGACTGGATCTTCATCACAGAGCCAGTTGGCAATTTTGTGCTGCTTACCTGGCCCCTGGAAGTGTTAAAGTACCGTCTGGTGAAACTCAGGATATCTTCTGTCTCGTTCTGTGAAAGGAAATAGGAGTCTTCATCCTGCCTGAGGCTCAGCAGGCTGTGTAGGTAAAATTTATACTCTTTATTACTCATGTTGAGCTTTGAAGAACAGATCTCTTCCTGATGGACAATGTAATAGAGGAGAAGAAGAGAAACTCTCTGGACCACTTCTTCCTGAAGCTGATCTTCAAAATTTCCTCCAGCTATGAGTAACAGGGCATCTGGTTCAAAGCACTGTGAAAACAACAACAACAACAAAAAGAAATAAAGCTTAGCAAATAGTTCCCAAACCAATGGTCCAATGGAGACCACAGGTTCTTAGGATTTTAGGAATAGAAGGTGAAAGTAGGCAAGCCCAACAGCCAGATTTGGGGATAAGTGTCATGATTGGACTTCTGTATAACAATGATGTCTTCATAGCGAATCTTTTTTCACTAAGAGTGATTCCACTGTCTCAATTACAGTTGACACAATTTGTTGATTTACTGCCTTGCATAAAACTGGCTGACTCTTTGGCTTTTAAAGTTATATCAAAAGCTGGATGCAGTGGCTCATGCCTGAGATCCCAGCACTTTAGGAGACTGAGGCAGGAGGATTGCTTGAGGCCAGGACTTCAAGACCAGCCTAGGCAACGTATAAAATATGTTGTCTTGTCTCTATAAAATATATATATACTAGATATTTTATATAGATATTTATATATCTATAAAATATATATACGTATAACATTTTTTAAATGAGCCAGGCATGGTGGCAAAAAAGTAAAAGAAACAGGTGAAATTAATTTTAATATTTTATTTGACCTTATATATCCAAGAGAAAATCATTTTAGCTTATGATCTTGTTAAAAATTACTAACATATTTTATAGCTTTTTCTGTTGATGTCTTTAAAATCTGATGTGTATTTTACAGTTACCAGCACATCTCAATTTGGATAAGCCACATATCAAGTGCCTGATAGCTCCATGAAGCTAGTGACTACCATGTTGGACAGCACAGCTCTAGAAATTTTCTTATGTATGAAACTTTAAATTTTCTTATGTTATCAATATTCTAAAATTACTTTGTTTACTTGTTTATTTCTTCTCTCCTCTATGAGAACATGGGGCCCACTAAGGCTGGGTTTTTTCTACTTTGTGCACAGTTCTATCCTTAGCACACAGCTCAACTCAAGCCATCTGCCCCTCTTCTACTCTGCCTCAGTGAATTGCTAAAAAATCTTCATTGAAGAAAACCAGAACATGCCACCCAAAATATACCACTTTGGCCCATCAATTATTTTGAGCTGGAAGCAATTAAGAAACATCAAACACAGAAAGGGCTACCTTCCCCCTTTCTACCTAAAAGTAAAACATATATTTTCTATGAGAAAGGTATCTTCACTGTATCAAGAGAACATTCTTATCATTGGAGACGGAAGTTAATCCTGAGATGGTTCTGTATAAGCAAACTTTACTAAAACGATGCTTATCATCCATAAGTATCCCCTGTGTATTTCCTGTTTGCTTTCCACCAATTTCCCATTCCAGACCAAACTCCTTTTTTCTTACTTTTGTCACATCTCCACAATTTATTGTTCTTTGTCAAAATGGTATATTAGACCCTGAGACTAATATAAAACCCCTTCTTTGGGGTTTTCACTTTTTCTATGAAGCTCTCCAGGCCAAATAAAAGTATTAACATCAAATGAAATGTGTGTGTTTTTTCTCCTGTCAACTTCTCTTTTGTCAGACCCGTCATAGAACCTAAGAGAGAGTCTTTCCTTCCCTACACTATGAAGCCTTGTTTGTTTCACAGACTACAGACAGATGCCTAGAATCTATAGTCTGAGAAGTTTCCATATAGTTTTAGTCAGCCTTGTGGGACAGCAAGAAAAAGACAGACACAGGAATTGTGAATGGAAAGCTCTCTCAGCAAGAGAGAAGCTGCCTTTTTGCCAGACATTCCTGAGAATTCTCATGAGATGTGAGAAGCAGCCCCATGACATATCAATAGCCTCCAAGTTAAGGCATTAAGGAGTGGCTACCCTGAATCCCAGAGGGAGTTATCCCATTGTAGGGACAATTTACTATGATATCTTTTAATCTAGTTTTCCCTACAGTGGAAGTTTTGGGGGTTCTCACTCCCTGTTTTCTGAGTAACCCACTGTGTAACATCTGGTATGTACCATCTGAGTCAGGAAGAAATAAATGTCATCTCCAAAGCAAAGCATAATTGCATCCTTCACAAAGCCAAACAGACTTTAATCTCTCCGCAACTCAGCTGCAGGGACATCACGAAGCCAGAAAACAGAAAGGATGCAGGGGTCCCAATAAGACCAACTCCCAATGCAGGTATTATGCTCTACCTCTGAAACCAGGGCAGCCCTTTCTTGTTCCCTAAGTGGCCCACAAAATCCATGCATTGGTAGCTGTTGGCAGAGCTGACACCAATACCCAAAGTGGTGAATGAGTTAAAATAAATATATAATAAAGCCATTCTTCATACCAAATAACCTCCTGAAACAAACCCTTTGGCAGGATTAGCTACCACTTATTGGCAGCCAAGCACCCAGAGTGCTAAGTACCTTATACATCAGGACATCCCTCAGTGTCTGATCTAATTGGTTCTATAAATGTGTAGGATAATGGAGTTTTTGATAGTGAGAATTCTATATCATTACTCTAAATGGACAAAATGCCCCCAGCTTATGCCTATACAAAAATCCAAATATTTCTACATAATATAAAGCATTTAGAATACCAATTACCCAATTGGTATTGAATTAATGAATTAATGTGCACATTTGTATGCAGTATACAAGGATTCTACATAGAATCAAGAGTTATGTTTTCATTCTATGAGAAAAGTGTGCCATAGTATATATGAAAACCAGCTCTGTAAGTAATTTGCCTAAACCCACACAGCTGATGGTCATAAACTGCCTCATTCTTATTTCCTATAAAGACAGGCCTTATTCTCTTAGCTCTTTTGTGCCATGGAGAACACAGGCTGGGGATCCACCAATGTATTTGACATGCAACCCCTTCAACCAGTAATCTTCTCTACCTTCAATGTGGTAGGACCAGAAGTCACTAGGAGACTGAGGGATTGGTCAGCCTATAGAACTGTCAGAACAAGATTCTACCAAGGGGTTGAATGTCTACAACTTGGAAGGGAAAATGTGTTCCTGACCTTGATAAATTGGAAAAAGATAGGGAAGCATCTTATTTTGGCTGAGTAGAGATTTGTCACCTTGAGTGCCTGTCCTTATTTTAATTTTGTGACACCTGCTATCTTAAAGCTTAACTGAATCACATGGCTATGAGCTGGAAACTTGACCCTCTTTTATGTTATCGAATTTTAGAGAAGTTACCTTAAGGTGGTGGCTTGGGGAAGGAGTACCATAGGAAATCTCAGAAAATCTAGCATAAGGAAATATGAATTCTTCCCCTGGGCATAGGCGTACCAAAAAGCATATGGGGGTTGTCCCATGGCAAGGGGTGGGGAAGAGGCTATAATTTTCAGTTCATCTCTTTTTGACTTATTTTCATTGTTAAAGTTTTTAGCAGTTGGCTCAGTTGTGTTTGGGAAAGGATGTTTAGCAAACTTTTGCAAATCCTGTCCACCCCATAGGCATCAAGATCTGTCCAAGGCAGCTGCTTTTCGTGAAGTAAGTCTTTGTTAAAGAAGAATGAACTCATTCACAAATAATCCATTAATTTTTCTTTTAATCTTGTCAGGTGGAGGCATAAAGTTTAAAGGGGGAAAAAAATCCCATGGATTCTGGGAATTTGTTTTAAAGACTTCATAAGGAAATCAACATTGAGAAAAGGTTAATTAAAATTTAAGGCCTTCCTTACAAATTAAATAGACAACCCAGATACTTGAGAGCAACTGTCCATCATACCTTGCGGCCAAATCAGATGGCCTCCCCAGCTGTGGCAACTCTGCTTTGCTAATTTCCTATGCCAGGTAAGAGCTTCAATGACAAACTCATGACACGATCACTTTCTCATACATTAAGAAGACAGCTGTCTTAACTGCAAGATAAAGTTCAGGGGTTTTAGGACCAAAGACTGAGACTAGATTTTGAGTAGTGGGAAAATCCCCTGTCTCCTTTTAAATTCTTCGTATTCTTGGTTTTTATTGTTGGGGAATCATTCAGGATACAAGGAGCCAGGTTATACAGCTTGCATTTCCTGGGTAAATTTCTATAATTTTATTATTTTGGAGACCTAGTCTCACTCTGTGGCCCTGGGTTGAGTACCGTGGCATCATGGCTCACATCAACCTCAAATTCTTGTGCTCAAGTGATTCTTTTGCCTCAGCCTCCCAAGTAGCTAGAACTATAGGAGCCTGCCTAAACACCCAGCTATTTTTTAGAGACAGGGTCTTACTCTGGCTGGTCTCCAACCTGTGAACTTCGGCAATCCACCTGCCTCAGCCTCCCAGTGCTGAGATTATAAGCATGAGCCACCGCACCTGGCCTGAAGTCCCTCTATTAATAGTGTCCTGCCCCCAATAAGTTTATCACACACAGTGGCTCCACACCCCCCTCTCTCCTTCCCTCCTTCTCCTTCCTCACTCCCCCTCTCCATCATGCACTAGCATCAATTGTGCTATCAGAATTGAGTACATTGGATTCTTGCTTCTCCATACTTGTGACATTTTACTGAAAAAAAGTATTCCAACTCCATCCAAATTAAGAGAAAAGATATAAAGTCACTATCCTTTTTAGTAGCTGTATAGTATTCCTTGGTACACATATACCATAGCTTGTTAAGCCATTCCTGGATTGGTGGATACCTATGTTGTTTCCACAATTTGGCAATAAGGACATTTGCACTAGATTGTTTATTACAGCTCAATTTACAATTGCCAAATTCTTGGTTTTTGTAAGGTCTTTTCAGGGGGACCCTGGGAAACATGGCTATCAACTAAATGTACCTACCAAAGAGCCAAAGGATGTCACTGATGGGAAATACTTTAATGTCTGTACTAGAGTTAGCAGCTTTTCTGATGGACATAAAAGAAAAGTCTTAACAGAGAAGGGTGAGGATAAACGTCTTGGATATCTATGATAAAGCTGGGTGCTCACCATACTTTATCCCATCACAGTTGTGACAAGGGGCTAAGATCAGTTATGAATTAAATGGAGACCCTTTAGGCAGTGGTCCTCTGCCTTGCCTGTGTCTTAGAGTCACCTGGAGCAATTGCTATAAAATCCCAAGCATCTGGGACAGTTCAGGGGACCTTTGTGGGGAGGAAGGAGAAGTGCCATCACTCCAGTGTCCTTGGTAAAGGACAGCTCAGACACTGCCATGAAGTACAGAGAACATAAGAACAGAGGGGACATGAGCCCCCACATCTGACCTTGTCCATGTGATCCTCACAGAACTGTCCCTGAAGGACTTATCACCTTATAGATGAGGAAGCTACATTTCAGTGTGTCCCAGTGCTAGAAGGTGCCAGAACATAGCTCTCTTTTCCTTTCAGGAACCCATGCAGGGTCATAGTTCTCATAATCGCTGAAGTGAATTTATCCTTCTGGAGTCACTTAATCCCTAAATTCATTAAAACTACATTCTAACCCTGTTGTTAAAGAAAAAGCCAAGATCTGGCAAGAAGTATCCATTTTCAAAGACTGCAGCTTGAATAGATTTATTGACAATGCTCTCAGACTCTTCAAATTGTTGACTTCTTTTGTTTGTTTGCTTGAGACAGAGTCTCAAGCTGTCACCCTGGATAAAGTGCTGTGGAGTCACAGCTCACAGCAACCTCAAACTCTTGGGCTTAGGCGATTCTATTGCTTCAGCCTCCCAAGTAGCTGGGACTACAGGCACCTGCCACAATGCTCAGCTATTTTTTTTCTTCTTTTGTTAGTGTTGTAGTTGTCATTGTTGTTTTAGCTGGCCCAGGTCGGGTTCAAACCTGCCAGCCTGAGTGTATTTGGCTGGTGTTCTACTCACTGAGCAACAGGCACTGCCCAAATTGTTGACTTTTTAAATCACCTAGTTTTCACCTAGACCTAAAACTGGAAACATTTCCTTCTCACAAATTCAAGATACCCATTTTTCTCCCCAGAACACAAAGGATGTGAAGACACATCCTTGCCCTCTCTTTTCATCACAGAATTCCCAGCCTGAGCTCTGCCTCTCCACAAAGTCCCTACAATGACAAAAGAGACTGGGCCGTAAGATTTGCTCCAGAACCTACATGTTTGGGAAATCAAGAGAACTCTTTGTTTCCCCTGATTTTTCATGAATGAAAACACCAGCAGCAAAAGGGTGAAACAACAAAAGTCCGTGTTTTGAGTCCCAGGAATGAACTAATTTCACTGAAAGCCAAATTGGACAGATTCTTGGTAACATCACAGGAGGCAGTTTAGTGCCAAGCCATTTTTCCCCCAGCCCTGAAAAATGGAGAACTATTTAGCATGTCTATATCTCCCCCAGCAAAACTAATATTCAAGCAGCCTTAATAAGGCACTATCCCTTCATTAAAGGAGAACATTCCCCCGAAGCAAATTCTCTGAGGACGTTAATCAGATCTGACTTCTGAATACTTCCAGTGGGATGTCTTCTGTTGCTATCTTTATATGTTAATGTCATCACAGATGAGTCGCCTATTATAACACATTCCTTCTGGAATCCATCAGGTATTTTAGCAATTATTGAATTATTTATTTTTAGCATGGAGCAGAGAAAATTCTATGAAGACCTTTACTGCCATAGGAAAGAAACATAAAAACTCCAAAATGCTTAACCAAGAAATCTCCCCCTGCCCTCCTTGACAACGCACAATTGAGAAAGTAAGTCCACCAAAATATATTCTGGGGGCAGTTATTAGCTTTTATTTCTTTATTTTTCATTTATGTATTTGTGAGTTTTTCCTCAAAACATCTGGTCAGTCGGGAATGGAATAAAGAGCATTTTTGTCTGATTTGTTTGCAGTCATTTTAACACAGGGGCTGTCACCTCCTACACTGCCCCCATCAGATGCCTACCTTGCCCTACACATCCACCCTAATTAAATAAAAAATCTCTGATCCCCTCAATATCACATTTAATTGACCTGGAGAGGCTTTTTTTTTTTTTTTAATAATCTTTCCTAAATTTGCGAAATCTCTGTCTCTGGAGGACAAAGCCTCAACATGGGGAAGGTGGGAAACTAGCCCAGATGATTCTGATGTGTAATCAGGGTGGAGATTCACTTTGCAAGCCAGGCTAAGGCTGTGAATTGGGCCAGAGGAGCCACGGTCTAATTTCAGTTCCACCTTCTGTATTTCCTTCCCCCAGCTCAGATTCCCCGTTAAGAAGACGATTGTCTAGCCAGCATTGTGGCAGGAGCCTATAGTCCCAGCTACTTGGGAGGCTGAGCCAAGAGTATCGCTTAAGCCCAAGAGTTTGAGGTTGCTGTGAGCTATGATGCCATGACACTCTACTCGAAGTGACAAAGTGAGACAGTCTCAAAAAAAAAAGAAGATAATTGTCTGATCATTACCCACCATGGAGACTATTACAAAACACCAATTGACATCCAAGAGAAAGCAGTCAAACATTACTGCTGTTAGATAAATACCAGATTGCTAATATATGCTACAAAAAAAGGAGGGGGGAGCAAATAGCATCTATCTGGTCATGTGCAAGTTCATTGCAGGGCAGAAAAAAAGGATTAGCAAATCAGAAAGGAAAGAGGAATGAAAGTTCACACTCACAAATAAATACCTCTAAATATTCAGGATTCCAGAAAGGCTTACATAAGTATCATCCTTTCAGCAACAACAAAAACAAATTCCCCTAGTCTTAAGTGCTACGTGCAGAATGCCCTTGACGCGTTGTATCTCAGATATGGAAGATGTTTCACTGCAAAGCACTGCCCACTTGGATAGTGGAAGATTGGCATTTGATTTGGCTTTGCTGGAGTAAAGGACCAGAGAACCCATTGCCGTCCTCTGAACGTGCCCTGGTACCTGACCCCACTCCGTGGCACTGACCAGATCACAATCTCCTTGCATTCCGGTTCTCCTCTGTGGGCACCCAGTTTTCTCCAACAATGTTCTGATGAGGCTTCTTGAGTGGTTGAGGGGTGGGTGGTCACCCACAGCGAGAGCTCGTAGTATGTCTGCCGTGTGCCCTGGACTCCCAGAGCCATTGCTGTCCTGGGCTGAGGGTGTGTCTGTCTCAGTAGAAGTAACACAGCTGAGCAGAAGGAACAAGGGCACCCAAAATACTGAAAGCTTTGTCCAGAAACACATTTCCACTCTTCCTTTACTTTGAGTCCGTCTTGGATGGAGATGGGTGCGTTGCTGTTCACGGGATAAACTTGTAGCCAAAGGAATTTCTGTGGTCGAGGGGGGGAAAAAAAAATCAAAGCTTCAATTATTGTGCCTGCTACATGTTTGAAAGAGTTCATTAATTGGGTAGCTAAGCTGATTTGCAATGACAAGCTGTTTCTAAACAACAGGGGGTGTGTAGGTAATTTATAACCCCAAACAACAGGAAACTACTACGGCTGTAGGCTTTCAAACCAAGTAAGACCAGCCAGAAAGCTTATGAGATCACCTCTCCCTGGACTGAACATATCAAAAATTAGGATTTCTCCTAATTTTCTCTGTTTATCTACAGGTAGTAAAAGTTGTAGGATGCAGGATGGGAAAGACCTTGTTATCCTGTTATAAAGAATTCCAACTGATTTGTGGTCCTCCTCCCAAGATAAAAATAAAGAGAAAAATAAATTCTAATAAATTACACATATAACATTGAGTTAGAGGGTTTTAGACAAGGAAAAGTGCTAGAAGAAAACAGTGTTGTTGGAAAAACACTGCCTTTTTTTTCTTCTTTTGTTGTTGTTAGTTTATGAAGAGTCATAATTCTAGACTAGAAAAACAAAAGAGAATTTCAAGACCACAAGAGCATCATTAAGCCACTCACTCAATGATCACTAGAGGAGCATAAAACAACTTTAGAGCCCTTCAACTTTCTGGGAAAAAAAAATAATAATCTTTTCCACTGACTGCTTAAGGAATGCAAAATGCAAACAGCATCTCATGTTTGATCCTGGCCCAGAGATGAGCTGGTCATGACTATGCGATAGTAACAAAGACACTGGGATTACTTTTATGGTTAAAAAGAAAAAAAAATTAAGATTCTTACGTTAGATAGCCGGGCGTTGTGGCGGGCGCCTGTGGTCCC